AGAGCTGAGGTCAGAGGTCAGACTTTATTCATATCAACACTCGGTGCTCTCACTTTGTAAAGCATTATTTGAGGACTGCTTTATTTCTGCTGCTGTTCGTCTTCAGCCTCCGTCTGCACACGTGTGTTAATGCTACTGTTTATATGTTAAATAAGTCCTGCTCAAGCGTCACGGTGGCTCAGTGGGAAGCACAATCGCCTCACAGCAAGAAGGTCGCTGGTTCGAGTCCCAGGCCAGTTGGTGTTTCTGTGTGGAGTTTGCATGTTCTCGCCGTGTTGGCGTGGGTTTCCTCCGGGTGCTCCGGTTTCCCCCACAGTCCAAACACATGTGCTATAGGGGAATTGGGTAAGCTAAATTGGCTGTAGTGTATGAATGTGTGAATGAGTGTGTATGGGTGTTTTCCAGTACTGGGTTGCAGCTGGAAGGGCATCCGCTGCTTAAAACATGTTGCATAAGTTGGCGGTTCAATCCGCTGTGGCAACCCCAGATTAATAAAGGGACAAAGCTGACAAGAAAATGAGTGATTAAATAAGTCCTGCTTATACTGTCTACTATCAAACAATAACATCCTATCTCTCTCTCTCTCTCTCTCTCTCTCTCTCTCTCTCTCTCCCTAATTAAATTATTAAATTAAGTTAAAGTAACATAAAAAAAATTGTTGTCATCACTTTTTTTTATTTTATTTTATTTTTTACAGTTTATACATATAATTGCGAAAAAGGGTCAATAATAAATCATATCTTGTATCTATTTTGTTATTATATATAAATAACTTAATTTAACTTAATTTAATAATTTAATCAGGCTTCAACTAATTTGTTTGTAACTATACTAAGTTTAACTAAATATTTTTGACTGATTTAAGATGACAAGGAAAGTTGATTTATGTTGTCGTTGTTGTTGTACTGTTGGTACTTTGATTATCTGTTGTCCACATTTGTCTGTCACTTTGAATAAAAGTATCTACCAAGTGATTAAATATAAATAACAATGCAAGCATTCACAAAAAAAAACTAAAATATAATAATAATAATACATTTATGGGACCAAATTTTGGGTTTGTTCATATTTGACGCAATTTGGGTTTAATAACCTGACATTATTATGACATTAGAGAGCATATTTACTGTATGTGTGTGTATATACAGTTGAAGTCAGAATTATTCACCCCCCTTTGAATTTTATTTTCTTTTTTAAATATTTCCCAAATGATGTTGAACAGATTCAGGAAATGTTCACAGTATGTCTGATAATATTTTTTCTTCTCGAGAAAGTCTGATTTGTTTTATTTCGGCTAGAATAAAAGCAGTTTTTAATTTTTTAAACAGCATTTAAGGTCAATATTATTAGCCCCTTTAAGCTATATATTTTTGTCAATAGTCTACAGAACAAACCATCATTATACAATAACTTGCCTAATTACCCTAACCTGCCTAGTTACCCTAATTAAACCTTTAAATGTCACTTTAAGCTGTATAGAAGTGTCTTGAAGAATATCTAGTCTAATATTATTTACTGTCATCATGACAAAGAGAAAATAAATCAGTTATTAGAGATGAGTTATTAACACTGTTATGATTAGAAATGTGTTGAAGAAATCTGCTCTCCGATACACAGAAATTGGGGAAAATTTAAACAGGGGGGCGAATAATTCTGACTTCAACTATATAAACTCAAGCCCTATTCATATATTATATGTTTGTTTGTTTGTTTGTTTGTTATAGCACATTTAAAAAACAACAAATGCTGACCAAAGTTGCCTTACAAATCAACCACCCGACACAATCAGGCTGAAAGCAGACACTGATCTGTGCTGTAAATCCTGCTCAACACTCAGCACAGCACCGCCGCCATCTTGCTCCACACAAGACCTTATTTTTAGTAAGGGTCAAACCCTGCAGAACTCAATACAGCAGAGGAATCCTGCAGGCCACAATCAAACACGGCTCTCAATGAACCGTCATCAGCATGTCAGTCGCCACTAGAACGTGTTCAAGGTATACAGCGGTTTGGAAAAGTCTAGGTTTTAAAACTGTCAACATGTTCTGCTATACCGTTCCTAAGATCCGCGTGCGATTTTTAATTAACATTTTTCCGTTTCGTTTTTTAGCACAGCAGTATCTCCAGCAGGAAAGATCTCCAAAGATGCCATTTTAAATTGAATATCAGTGGTTTTGAAACAAATGAAGACAGCAGAAGTCAATGATTCATTACAATTATTCAGCCGGACATGTTTACAGCTCCAAAATATTATAAATCTTTCCCAAATGAAAATATACTGTGTACAAAGGGGGAAACGGTTTCGTTTCTTACCCAGACAATTGAAAAGAACATATGTTAGAGCAGTGATCTCAATACCGTGATATTTATCTCCAAGGTTATCATACCATCAGAATCTTATACAGGCATTCACATAAAAAATTTACCATAGTATAGTTTAGGATTTACTACAACCAAATAAAGTATATTACCGTAATCACTTCACTTCATCATTACTTGCAAACTTACTGTAAAGTGTTACCGTGACTTACATATATCGTCATATATCAGATTCCTACATGGCATATAGTCTCTTTCCTATGGTTCCCTTTCCTCCAGCAGGTAACAATAATCCAGTTTGATAGTAACACATTAACTAATACAATAAAACACTAATAAAAAAACAGCTTAAACCAGCCTAGGCTGGTTGGCTGGTTTTAGCTGGTCGACCAGGCTGGTTTTAGAGGGGTTTCCAGCCTGGTCTTAGCTGGTCAGGCTGGGAGATGACCAGCTAAAACCAGCTTGACCAGCCTAGCCAGGCTGGAAGCCCAGCCAAAACCAGCTATGTCCAGCTTAAACCAGGCTGGTCAAGCTGGTTTTAGCTGGATTTAGCATGTCAGTTTCCAGCCTGACCAGCTAAGACCAGGCTGGAAATGGCAGGATACCAGCCTGGAAATGGCCAAAACCCCTCTAAAACCAGCCTGGTCGACCAGCTAAAACCAGCCAACCGGCCTAGGCTGGTTTAAGCTGGATTTTTCTGCAGGGATATCAGACTTCTTTATGACATTTTTTTGATTACTATAGTTCTTTTCATATGGTTCTCTTGCCTCCAGCAGGTCAAAAGGGTTTAGTTGGACAGTAAATACATTAATACAACCTTACTGTAAAGTGTTACCGTAAACTGCATATCAGATTTCTATATGGCATATCCTTTACTATAGTACTTTTTTCTATAGATCCCTCGTCTCCAGCAGGTCAAAAGGGTCTATTTTGACAGTAAATACATTAACTAATACAACCTTATTGTAAAGTGTTACCGTAATTTGCATATGCGGCAGTGTATCCGATTTCTATATGAAATTTTTACTATATTGATTTTTCTACAGATCTCTTTCCCAAAGCAGGTAAAAAGGGTCTAGTTGAACAGTAAATACGTGAAGTAACATACAACCTTACTGTAAAGTGTTACCGTAAACTGCAAATCAGATTTCTACATGACGTATTCTTTACTATAGTACTTTTTTTATGGTTCTCTTGCCTCCAGCAGGTAAAAAGGGTTTAGTTGGACAGTAAATAAATACATTAACTAATACAATTTTACTGTAACATGTTAGCGTAAATTGCATATATCATCATATATCAAATATCTACATGGCATATTCTTTACTATAGTGCTTTTTTCTATGGTTCTTTCCTCCAGCAGGTAAAAAAAAAGTCCAGTTCGGCAATAAATACATTGACTAACATTAACTAATACAACATTACTGTAAAGTTTTACCGTAAATTTCTAATCAGATTTCTATAGGGCATATACTTTACTATAGTACTTTTTTCTATAGATCCCTCGTCTCCAGCAGGTCAAAAGGGTCTATTTTGACAGTAAATACATTAACTAATACAACCTTATTGTAAAGTGTTACCGTAATTTGCATATGCGGCAGTGTATCCAATTTCTATATAAAATCTAATCTAATCTAAATCTAATCTCTTTCCTCCAGCAGGTAAAAAGGGTCTAGTTGAACAGTAAATACATGAAGTAACATACAACCTTACTGTAAAGTGTTATCGTAAATTGCATAACTGATTTCTACATGACGTATTCTTTACCATAGTACTTTTTTCTATAGATCCCTTGCCTCCAGCAGGTAAAAAGGGTTTAGTTGGACAGTAAATAAATACATTAATACAATTTTACTGTAACATGTTAGCGTAAATTGCATATATCATCATATATCAAATATCTACATGGCATATTCTTTACTATAGTGCTTTTTTCTATGGTTCTTTCCTTCAGCAGGTAAAAAAAAAGTCCAGTTCGGCAATAAATACATTAACTAACATTAACTAATACAACATTACTGTAAAGTGTTACCGTCAATTGCAAATCAGATTTCTACATGGCGTATTCTTTACTATAGTACTTTTTCTTATGGTTCTCTTGCCTACAGCAGGTAAAAAGTATATAATTTCACAGTAAATACATTATTTGACTAATACAACATCACTGTAAAATGTTACCGTAAATTGCGTAAGTCGTATATCTACATATCATATACTTTACTATAGTACTTTTTATATGGTTCTCTTGCCCATAGCAGGTAAAAATGATCTAGTTTGCCAGTAAATACATTAATTAACATGCAACATTACTGTTAAGTGTTACTGTAAATTGCATATATCGTAGTATATCAGATTTATATATGGCATATACTTTACTATAGTAGTTTTAAATATGATCCTCTAGCCTCCAGCAGGTCAAAAGTTTGACAGTAAATACATAAACTAACATACAACCTTGCTGTAAAGTGTTACGGTGAACTGCATATAAAGGATTTCTGGTATATTCTTCCCTATAGTACTTTTTCACATATAGTTGTCTTGCCTCCAGCAGGTAAAAAGAGTCTAGTTTGACATGTCTCTTGCTCGACTGATCTGGATTCAGTCCAAATGTCATACTAGTGTCTCTGACCCATATAACAACTCAACCCTTAGCCCCCTCCCCATGTGTCTGTTTATAGTCTGCAGGCTGCAGTCCTGCTCTTCACTGGGCGGCGGGCGCACGTGTCGGACCTTGTTCCTAATACTTTGACTTATTTAGGAACAAAGTAAAATAAAGAAACTAAAAGTATTCCAAACCTTTCCAAGTGAGACTTAAGAGTGACATGAAGTGGCGTTGGGTGATTTGGGGGGTTCTTCTGTCTTTGGGTTATCAGTGCTGGAGCGAAACGGGTCTGGATTTCCCAGAATACGATGGCAAGGACAGAGTTCATCAGCTGACGGCTAAAAACTACAAGTCTGTGATGAAGAAGTATGACGTGATGGTGATCTACCTGCACAAGCCTGTAGGGGAGGACCGCATGGCCAGAAAACAGTTCGAGGTGGAGGAGCTCGCTCTGGAGGTGCGTCAGGGATTATCAGAACCAAGCGATTGGGGAAACTGATGAATGAACGACTAAATGAACACGCTCTAAAACAAATGTTGGGTCAAATGCAGACAAACCCAGCTGTTGGTTTGAAACGTATAGTTTTATTTTATTTGGAAATGAATATGTTGGGTTTGTCAACATTTGACCCAACGTTGGGTTTAAACAACTTTGTCAATTTGTGTGTATAAAAGTGTATGAAGTGAGATTCGAGGACTATTGGGTTATGGGGTTGAATGACAAGTTCACTTCTAGAATGACTGGTCAACTTTGTCCTTAATATGGAAGTCAATAGCGACCATCAACTTTTTGGATTGTTTTGGAATGTTGGGTCGAATATGGACAGTAAATGGGTTAAAAAGTGTCAATGTAATTGAAAAAAATAACCAAGCATTGGATTTGTCCATAACTGCCCCAATGTTGAGTCAAAACAACCCCGCAAACCAGCACACACACAGTAATGTTCTTCTAGAAATGTGTGCATCAGCTCTATATACTCTAGAAAACGCTGGAGCATAGTAACCCAATGCTGGGTCAAATGTGGACAAGCCCAACAGTTGGGTTAAAAAATGTAATTTATGTCGGATTTGTCAAAATTTGATCCAACATTAAGATAAAACAACCCAGCGATTTACTTTAGTGTGTATGAAGCGAGATTCAGGGGATCATTCAGTTCACTTCTAGAATGAGTGCACACTACTGATTTCTATAGTGTTTATTCCTTGCTATGGGAGTCAATGGTGACCATCAACTATTTGGATTACTAACCTTTCCCAAGTATTATCTTTTGTGTTCACCAGAGATAGTAACTTCATATGCGTCTTTACAACAAGCAGACAGTGAATAAATTAAAGTAAGACAGAGCTTTACATTTGGAGGTGAACTACTTTGAATGCAAACTCTCTGAAACAATTCTGGGACTGCCATAACCCAATGTTGGGTCAAATATGTCCAGTAAGTGGATTTTAAAAAAGTGTAATTTACATGTAATAATAATTTATTTTATTTGTAAATGGCGCCTTTCTAGACACCCAAGGTCGCCTTACAATAAGCATCAGCAGACATGCTAAACAAATTAAACATTATAAAAACAATCATTGACCAAACAAGTTAAAACACAATAGCGAATATAAAAGAACACAATAAAAACATGATTAAAACAATGTTAAGTAAAAGCCTGCTTAAAAAGATGGGTCTTTAGACGTGATTTAAAAGTGTGAAGACTAATCACTGCTCCTAAGATCTACTGGAAGTGAGTTCCATAGCCGAGGAGCCATAGAGCTAAAAGATCTGTCTCCCATTGTGCTCAATCGAGTGCGAGGTGGTGCCAGGGTGGAGTTGTTGGCTGATCTAAGGGTACGAGAAGGGGTGGAGATATGGAGAAGTTCAGTGAGATATTGAGGAGCGAGATTATGAAGTGCCTTGAAAGTTAGAAGTAATATTTTAAAATCAATTCGAAGCCACTGAAGCTGATAGAGGAGTGGTGTGACGTGCTCGTGAGATGGGGTCCTATAGAGATGACACGAGCTGCATGGTTCTGAACCAGTTGGAGTTTATGGAGAAGTTTGGAAGGAAGTCCAGAAAGAAGTGCATTACAGTAGTCTAGACGTGAAGTAACTAATGTGTGGATAAGTAATTGAATTGGAAAAAATAATCAAGCTTTAAGTGTCCCAGCATTGTGTTAAAACAACCCAGCATTTTTTTCAGAGTGTTTGAAGTGAGATTCAGTGGATCATTGGGTTACGGGGTCGAATCCCTTAAAGGAGAACTTCAGTTCTAGAATGACTGGTCACCATTGACTTCAATAGTGTTTCTTCCTTACTATGGAAGTCAATGGTTTTGGATTGGTTGGATTGTTTTGGAATGCTGGGTCAAATATGTACAGTAAATGGGTTATATAGTGTCATTCAAATGTAACTTAAACCATGAAACAAAACATTGAGTTTGTCCATTACTGACCCGATGTTGGGTTAAAACAACCCAGCAACCCACCATACACATAAATGTTCTTTTATAAAAAACTTAATGTTGGGTCAAATGTTTGTCAATATTTGACCCAGCGTTGTGGTAAAACAACCCAGCATTGTATTTAGAGTGTCTGAAGTGAGATTCAGTGGAACATTGGGTTATGGGGTCGAATCCCTTAAAGGAGAAGTTTACATATATAAAGACTGATACCCGTTGACTTCCATATTTACTCCATACTGTTGACGTCAGTGGTGATCATCAACTTTGTGGATTGGTTGGATTATTTTGTAATGTTGGGTCAAATATAGACAGTAAATGGGTTAAAAAGTGTCAATGTAACTGAAAAAAATAACCAAGCGTTGGATTTGTCCATAATTGAGCCAATGTAGGGTTAAAACAACCCAGCAACCCACCATACAAAAAAAATAAAAAATAAAATATGTATATATATATATATATATATATATATATATATATATATATATATATATATATATATATATATATATATATATATATATATATATATTTATATATATATAAACAACCCAATGTTGGGTCAAGTGTGGACAAACCCAACAGTTGGGTTGAAAAATGTAATCTTAGTTTAATTTGAAAAATTAACCTAATGTTTGGTTTGTCAATATTATGTATTCCAACATTGTGTTAAAACAACCCAGCATTTTATTTAGAGTGTATCTGGTGAGATTCAGTGGATCATTGGGTTATGGGTTGAATGTCAAGTTCAGTTCTAGAATGATTGGTCAACACTGACTTCTATAGTATTCTTTCCATCCGCTTTATGGATTAGTTGGATTGTTTTGGAGTTTTGGGTCAAATGTGTACAGTAAATGGGTTTAAAAGTGTAATTTAAACGTTTTGTAATTGGAAAAAAATAACCAACGGGTGGGTTTGTCCATTGGGTTTGTCCATAATTGACCCAAGGTTGGGTTAAAAGAACCCAGCAACCCACCATACACAGAAGTGTTCCTCTATTAATTTCAGCGCATCAGCTCTACCTCTAAAAAATTGCTGAAACATATCAACCCAATGCTGGGTCAAATGTGGACAAACCCAACAGATTATTTAAAAAATGTCATTTTAATATTTGTTTTGCGTTTCTCCAGATGTGATCCAACGAATAATCTTAATTTTTTAGAGTGAATTGTTTGCGGGTCCACGTGACGTCTGATTATTCTCGTCATCATTATTATAACACTAGCCGCCGTGTTGCTCTCTGTGGTCTGGAACGCAGCAGTACTGTAGGTCATCAGCTGCTGTCGGTGTTTTTAGAGATCCTCAGTGTCCGCTTACAGTTCAGCTGATCTGCTGTCAGTCCCGCAGTGGGAGACTCAGAGCACTTTATATTAGGTGGACGGAGAAGCGGAAAAGCCAGGGTAAAATACAAAGAAGTGCATTGAGGAGCGATGTGACCAAATGTCAAGCACAGGTGACCTGCTAACATTAAACTGACCAGTAACAATTCCAATTGTGCAAATGCTTATTCAAAGGCCTACATTAAAGACTTTTATTATCATTGTTTATAATTAAAAATATCTTTTGATTGTCCGTTTCAATTGAATAGACATGTTAAATACAGATAAGCCTGACTCTGAGTCTGCTGAGGCGGTTGTTGTTCTCAGTGTAAACCCAAACACTAAAATAATAGTAGAGTCTTGCTGTTGAGTTGTAGATCACTACAAAAACACTTTACAATAAGGCCGTATTAGTTAATGTTAGCTAATGCATTTACTGACATGAACAAACAATGGACAAAACATTTATTACAGCATTTGTTCACTGCCCTGGTGAAAAATCCAGCTTAAACCAGCCTAGGCCGGTTGGCTGGTTTTAGCTGGTTGACCAGGCTGGTTTTAGAGGGGTTTTGGCCATTTCCAGGCTAGTTTCCAGCCATTCCCAGCCTGGTCTTAGCTGGTCAGGCTGGAAAATGACCAGCGTGCTGGTTTAAGCTGGATATAGATGGTTTTGGCTGGACTCCCAGCTTGGCTAGGCTGGTCAAGCTGGATTTAGCTGGTCATCTCCCAGCCTGACCAGCTAAGACCAGGCTGGAAATGGCTGGAAGTGGCCAAAACTCCTCTAAAACCAGCCTGGTCGACCAGCTAAAACCAGCCAACCAGCCTAGGCTGATTTTTCAGCAGGGTGTAGTTAATGAAAACACAGTTGTTCATCGTTAGTTCATGAAACTCAAGTATTGCTAATACATCATCTAAAGAAACCTCACCTGAAGAGTGACCATAACTACCTTGCACAGCATCAAACAATAAATACAATGTACAGGGTGGGCCATTTATATGGATACACCTTAATTAAATGGGAATGATTGGTGGTATTAGCGACCTGTTAGTTGCACATAAGTGAGGGGGCTTGTAAATAACTCATGAAAGAATAAAGCTTCGTTAAAACCAAGCACACCATTGTTTTTCTTGTGAAATTCCCAATAGGTTTGATGTGTCACATGACCCTCTTCTTACTGAAGAAACAAAAGTTGGATCCAAGATGGCCGACTTCCAAATGGCCACCACCCATCTTGCCCCCTCACATGCCACAAACAGGTGGTTAATATCACTAATCATTCCTGTTTAACTAAGGTGTTTCCATATAAATGGCCCACCCCACTTAGTGTGTTCATAAAGTAATGCAGAACACTACTGAGGGGAGGATAGGGACAGGTCAGGTGGTTAGGGTAGGTTTACGAGGGTTGGGTTGAAGTGTGCTGGATAGTCAGCAGTGTAACTGCATGCAGGTATGGGTTAAACAGAATAAGCTTGTTTCAACTTGCCCCATTGTCAGATTATTCTGCTGGTTTTAATGAAAAACTCTTCATTTTGACTCAATATTTCTGAAAACAGGACTACAGTTTGAGCTTGTCTGTAGAACGCTTCTTGATTTAAGCATTTGTAGATATTTAGACTAGAAACAGGACAGAAACTCTGAGTAAGCAATGCATGTTTAGGAGCGTGGTTAAGGCCTCCTATATATAAAAGCAG